GACTGGCTGGACGTTCAGCGTGCGCACTACTGACTGTTGGCTGCTATCGCGAATGGCTAAGTGCCGCGGCTCGCGGCAGGCACATGCACTGGCAGTCGGCGCTGCCTGTCCGCCAACACGCTACTGCCGCTACGTGCGGCAGCGCGTCCATAACCGGCTTTCACCAGCCATCCGGTGAATACCTTCGGCAACCATGACATCAAACAACATGTCCTGACTTAATATGAACATGGTTATGGAAATAACTTGAAAATAGCACTTTTCGCACGATCAACTAAAAGGGGCCGCGGCGAGCGCGCCGTGCGCCGCCGACGGCGATAAGCCGTCTCCCGACCAAAACACCTTTTCCCTCGGCAACTCCAGACCATTTTAACATGAACATTATTATGAGACTATTAAGACATAAATCACACGAAAGAACGTGACCATAACCGAAAGTGACAGGACATGGCTCGGTGCCGCCCGTGGCCACGCGCGATAAGCGCTAGCGACGGTTTGAGCCATTTAACCAATAAAACAACATTTTGCCTCGACCAACATGGTCTAACTGGGCATGAAATGATCTAAACTGAACAAATAAACATGAATTGTACGAGAGTTGCCGGGTAGAAAAAGAAATTACTCGATCACGATTCAACTTAGGCATATTCGAACTTAACATGGCAATACTAGGAATTCTTGAATATGATTCGAACACTTCAACTTAAAATGAACTTATGGCAATAACAATAAATCGAGGATGACTATACCTTCTTAAGTACTCGCCGGAAAATCGAAATCGCTCGAGGCCTTGCGTGTGCGTGCCGATGCGATACTTGCCGTGCGTTGGTATTACTTGTCGTGCCTCTACTAACCGTGCGATGCTATGATATGCTCAAGGTAGTAAGCGGAACTACTTGTTGAACTTAAGAACTAAAATATATATATATGGGCTGATGAATATACGCTGCTATGGGTGGGAAAAGGTGGTGAAATTTTTTCATCCAAACAAGCTTTTTATACTAAGGGCCAAAAGAATGCAAGTGACGAGGGGTAGACGTGGCCTACTTAGATTTTAAACATTTGCCAACTTATGGAGTAATTGATGATGACTAATCCTCCTTATGCTCCCACATAATAACACGTGTGATACTTAAGTTTGGAAGGAAAATTATTTCCTTAGCACTTAGGACAATGGCATAAAATGAAACCAAATACAATTGCTTACGGCTTTATTGAATTATTTGGAAAGATTGAACACTAATAACTATTAAAGCGTGATTAATTTTAATTAATCACTAACTATGTTTAATTATTTAATTAAACATAATGCTTGATTACCAAAATTATTCCGAACGTAAACGGTACGTCGAAAATAAATTTCGGTAATCTCGACTGAAAATAATTAATTCCGAAAATAATAAACGTTAACATTATTATATCGGAATTAAAACATAATTTAGACTGATAAAATATCGGGATATTACACATGGAAACAGGCGAGCAGCTCTAACACTGATAAGGTTCAGACCATGTGGAAAAGAACTTGGAAGCTTCCTCTTCAACATAAGTTGAGAAATTTTATGTGGAGGGTGTTCCATAACTTTATTGGCACCAAATTTTATGTGGAGGGTGTTCCATAACTTTATTGGCACCAAGGTCAATCTGAGAGAGAAAGGGCTGGCTGTTGATGACATATGCTCAATGTGTGGGGAAGCAGCAGAGGTGAATCACTTGTTTATACACTATCCCAGAGTGAGCATTTGCTGGAAAATCATTGGGATTCAGTGGGAGGCTTTCAGGCAACCACAAGCTAAAATTCAATCATTGTGGGAGGAGGTTTGTACAAGTAAAAGCTTTAAGAAAGTAGCTGATAGAGTAGGGTTATCTGTGTGCTTGATGTGCAGAATTTGGAAAAACAGAAATAATGTGTGCTTTAGAGGAGAACCTTTTGATGAAATTGCTGTGGTGAATGAGGCTAAAAGAGACTGGTTGGAAGGGGTGAGTCTAGAGGGGGATGGATTAAAACTTGAAAGTGATCCTACTACTGTCACTATGTCTCAAGAAGAGAACTTTTCCCAGGGAGTAGGATATGTATCTTTACATATCAGTGCTCTACCCTCTTCTGCAGATAAAGTGAGAGTTAGAGGTGAGGCAATCATGAATGGAGACAAAATTAAAGAATGGCAGAAGGAGTGGGACAGGCCATGAGAGGAGATGAAAGCAAATCTTTTAGCAGTAAGATGGATATTAGACCTGGCTAGCAAGAAGGGATGGAAAAAGATAGTGTGCTATATGGAGTCAAAGGCAGCAGTGGTCAGGCTAAATACAGGGGATCAAGATATTTTTCCAGTATCTGTGTTAGTGGATGACATTGTATTTTTAAAGCATTGTTTTGATTATTGTTATTTTCAGATTCTAGTTTGTTGCTTTTCTTAGTTTGCTGTTTTGGACCTTCATGGTCGTGTAGGGAAAGCTAGGGCTGAGCACGGGACTCGAAGATTACCGAACCGTTCCGAAAACCGAACCGAATTCACCCCGAACCAGAAAATATCCGTTGACCATTTGACTTTATCCGAACCGAACCATACCGAAAAATATTTGGTACGGTTCTGGAGATTCATGAAATATCCGAACCGAGAACCCAACCGAGCCGAACCGAACCGAATCGAACCATACCGAATCGAGAACCGAACAAGAACCGATTTTAATTCATAAAATTCATATAAATATAATATTTTATCTTATACTTTATTTTCATTTTTGTACAAATTTGTATTTATAATTGAATTGCAGATAAAATCCATATACATGAGGACTATGTCCATAAACTATCATATATTATATTTAAAACTGAATTTCAAAAATCCTCCACTATTGAATATGAATATAATTAAATAATTAAAAATAAATTATTTTATTTTCTTACTGCATGTGAGGCATTAGTTTGAAGAAAATTAAATTATTTTATTTTTTTTATGACAAATTTTGGTAACAAACATGTGTATAATTGTATATGTTTCATGTATAAAATTGTATATGTTGCTGTAAATTTTATACCCAATATTTATTTTCTATCAGATTGCTTCCGGAGGGCTTATGGAATATGGACCATGCATTGGAAATGGAGTTCAAGTTTGTATGGGGTTCTTGTTTCACGAAGAATATAAAAGTTCGCGTTATTGTTTTTTGTTTGATAACTCGTTGGGACTTGTATGAAACCTTACACTTATTTTTTGTCATTTTGAACTTATACTTGATGATGTAATTGTAGTTTGTGAATTATGGGACTTGTATTTAGAATTATGGGATGTGAACTCTTGGATAATGTGTGTCTTAGTACTTAGTAGTACTTGATCTACACTTAATTTTTTTAATTATTTAAACTACTTAATATGATGAAGTATTTATGATTGTTGGATTTTTTTTTCTAAAACATATAAAAATTAAAATATAACTAGATAGTCTCAATACCGAACCGAACCGAACCGAATAATGAAAATCTCCGAACCGAACTGTCCCGATTTTTTGGTACGATTCCGGAGATCGAATTTAGTGATCTCCGAATTTTGGTACGGTTCTGGAGATTTGTCGATCTCCAAACCGTACCGACCCATGCTCAGCCCTAGGGAAAGCTATGTGTAGTCTTTCTCGTGTCCAACCCTGCTGTGTTTGGGAGGGTTGGGTAGTATTTTAGTCAGTTGGCTAATCGCGATGTAATTGTTTTGAGGTATTAATATAATTATCTTCGTTTGGAAAANNNAAAAAAAAAAAAAAAAAAAAAATCATTTACTTGTAAGTTGCAAGTTAATTTAGTTACCTTAATTCACTAGATGAGATCTATCTATTTTTCATCACAGCTTGTCAGTATTTCGAAACCTCATCATTATTGTGTCTGTCACATTGAACCAGGGAAAAATGAACAAGCATATAATAAATTTTAACAAAATTTTATGTAGAAATTAATACTTACCATTATCCCTCCCTTTTCAAGGTGCTGCAGCAAATGTATGACATAACACGTGAAGGCCTGAATGAAGGGGTCAGCAATTATTTATGAGTGCGCTCCAGTTCGAGCGCCTTGACTAGCCGAGCTCGAGCTAATTGAAAGCTCGTTTAGTTAACGAACCGAACTCGATTCTACTCGATAAGACTCGAAAAGAGATTTTTCATATATTTTTTTTATCGTTAAGGTTCTGCTCTATAAGAAAACTTATATATATTTTTTATTGTTAAGGCTCTGATACCATGTCAAATTTTGATAAAATCGAGGCACCAGGGGTGTGGTCCTACACACAAAAGCGCACCATAAAAAGGCTAGCCTAGTTGCACCTTAGTGAGGTTTCATTCCAAAACAAATTGGTAGTAGCAATAGCCCACTAGGCGTATAAATTAGACTTATTTGCTTTGTATATACGATGTTACACAACTCACAAGTATATATTGTAACAGTTTGTTAAAGCTCGAGATCCACTCAAGCTCGAGGCCTTAACAAATCGAGCTCGAGCACTTTAAGCTTGAGCTCGGCTCGGCTCGGCTCGTATATGCCGTAGGCACATCCAATCCATCCTCCAAGGCCAATAGTATTTCTTTTTTTTCTCTCTTTTTTTTTCTCCTTTCTAACAGCTCCTTGGAATCTTTTGTGTATATGGTTTTGTGCACAGTTCATGGCAATCTCTGACAACACCACCCCACCATTATCATTCTATTATTATTACCATTTTTTTTTTCTCTCTTTATTAAATTTACCATGCCACTACACTACAAAACACCTACATCTTGTACTAGATTTACATTGAAGCTTGCAATTTGCACACTTTTAGATGTTGTTTGTTGCTGCACAGATAATTAAAAAAAACAAAGGGCAGCACACTTTTCTATATACGGCATCACACATGACACATTCACGAGCTATTGCGAGCTATTTTCTTCTCCTCTTACCTTTGACCCTATTTTCTTTCTCTGCAATGTAAAGCAAACTCTCTCATCATCACTTGTTATTAAACTTTAAAGCTCTGTCAATGGGGAAAAATTCATGGCTGACTGCAGTCAAGCGAGCCTTCAGGTCTCCTACTAAAGACTCACCCGAACAAAAGAGAAGTACTTCCAGGAGAAAAGTAGATAATCATCAACAACAACGACGACGACAACAACAACAAGAGGAGGATGAAAAGGTAACAATAAGTCAGTAACATTGTTACATCAACAACAATAACCAAGTACATTTTGTTTTCCAAGATAAAAAAACAATAGTTTTGTTACAGAAAACCGAAAGGCGGAGATGGGTGTTCAAGAGGCAGTCGAACAACGACTACCACCACCACCACCACCACCACCACCACCAACCAGTCGAGCCAATCGAGCAGACAAACACCGCGCGCCCGGCCGAGCAGCGGCACGCCATTGCAGTGGCGGAAGCTGCTGTCGCGACTGCAAAGGCAGGTGTCGAGATTATCCGTCTGACTCAGCAGCCCACACTGCTGAAGCTGCAGTGCGCAGCCAGAGTCATCCAGACAGCCTTCAGAGGCTATCTGGTAAACTAGCTAGTAGTATTTAATTAAATATATGATCTGTTTGATGAGTTGTTTTTGCAATTCTACTTGATTCTTTCTTTCCTTTTGTTTTCTATGTAAAGGCAAGGAGAGCTCTAATCGCTCTAAAAGGGATCGTGAAGCTCCAAGCGCTCATCAGAGGGCAGAACGTTCGGAAGCAGGCGACCCTGACTATGCGGTACATGAAGACATTGCTGAGGGTGCAGGCGAGGATGAGAGATCAGCGGGCCCGCCTTTCGCATGAAGGGGCAAGGAGGTCCATGTTTGCAGAGACTAGAAATATATGGGAGTCCAACTACACCAAAGACATGAAATCAAGAGTAAAATTCTCTTCTTCTTCTTCTTCTTCTTCTTCTTCTTTACGATAACTAAGACTATTCGATTTATTTGGATTGTCGATTTATTGACAGTCGAGAGATGGGAGTTGTGTTACCGATGACTGGAGGGATTGCCCTCGCACGCTGGAGGAGCTCGAAGCGATTTTGAAAGCAAGAAATGAAGCTGCATTGGTACTGCACGACTACAAGTCGTTGCCTTTCGCTTTCTCGCAGCAGCAGGTACATTGATTTTATTTTATACAGAGTGTTTGCCCAAACTTTTCCTGTTGCCTTTCAAGTAAAGTAGCTTTCTATGAGAGTCACAAAAGGGTAATGTAGTTGTGACCCATTTTGTCACATAATTGAATGTTAATCATGTGGATGGTGTGTTTTCGTTTTACCGTACGGGATAAAATGCAAAGAAAATTAAAGGTAATACACTACTAAACCCATCGGCTCACATAACGGACATGTTTTTAAAATCACGTAAAAGTTAACCTTTTAGTTATCATCCCATTCCCATACCTTTTCTTTGTGGACTTGAAATCATACTTAACAATTATAAGAATGTCGTGGTACAGAACAAAATACTGGATTCGGACAGCGAAAACAGAGCAAAATGGCTGGACAAATGGATGTCCGCAAGGCAGCAACCGCCATGGGAGTACCCCAGCAGGCCCTCAACCGAGTACCGACGAGCAAGCACCGTCGAGATCGACTCACACCGGAAATCCCGCTGCCAGAGCCCCATACGCCAGTCCAGGCCAACAAAATCCCCTCCAATCCGAGCCAAAGAGGACAAGTGCCAGTCTGCAGCAAACACGCCCTCCCTGCGCTCGGCTGTCTCGGTCCCCAATTACATGGCGGCCACCGAGTCTGCCAAAGCCAGGGTACGGTGGCAGAGCGCGCCGAGACATAGGCCCGAAAGGGAGAGGAGCGCGAGAAAGAGGCTGTCATACCCGATGCCCGACCCGAATTTCGGGCTGGGCAAGAATCTGAGGAGCCCGAGCTTCAAGAGCGTCCACGCGGGCTACGTGGGTATGGAGGAGCAGGAGAGTGTTGGTGGAGAGATCTCGCCGTGTTCCACCACTGATTTGAGGAGGTGGTTGAGGTGAATGGAGCCCATTTTGGAAGTTTGAATCTTGTTTTCCCCAAGTTTCTTTATTGTTTATGTGAGCTAAAAGCCTAAAAGTGAGCGTCAAGGTTGTTGTTGTGGTTGTTTCATGAGCGAGCAGGCTGGTCGGGTTTCGACCAATCATGTACGGGCGTCGCATTCATATTACTTGCTTCGATCGCTTCTGTTACACTGACATTTCTACTTCTTCATTTATGTTACTCGTCAACGTAGGTTGGTTCCAAATCAAGTGTGTTAGAATGGGATTTGTAAATGAATCCAAAATTCTTATTCAAGTATTTGCATATGGGTACATGGTGTAGACATTAAAATTCTAATTATTTAATTAATTTATGGTTTTATTTATTTATTTTAGATTTAAATTCATGATATTAAAAATTAGTTGATAAAATAAATATTTTTCTAGCCTACTGTTGACCCCCTAATCGATCGATGCTTGGCGCAAATGATATGACTATCCGACCTTGAAGATAAAAACAACGAAAACCTAACAGCTCGACGACGAGAATTAATTTTACAAGGAGCTCAGTCACCTAACTAAAGAAACCGATCAAGATCCTTCAGGAACTGACCTCTAACATCTCATTAAATGCAGGCAAGACACATGTTCATAGCACAGTCGAAAAATGATCATTAGACGTGGGCCCCACTCTACAAAACTGCATGTCGTCATTAAATCACATTAAATGTTGATGTACTGACATCGTGAACAGTGTCCGTTAGTTTTGCACTATAGATACCCCTCATTTACTGTAACGACGACATATTGTAGAAATTCTCTTTCTAAAAATAACGCCAAGTTGTGCTTAAAACCCTAGTTGTTTCATTATGTAAAATATAGTCACCTAACTTCTTTCAGTAGTATTACGAGTTTTACTTGGGGAAATTTCTTAACCTGTTGACTAGAATTTCGCATTGGAGCTAGAAGGAGGGTTCCATCATCTGTTTTAGAGTAACCTCAACCAACATTTACACCACTAAATGTGCAATAAAGATGTCTTCTTCAAGCCAAGAAGATTAGGAGCGTCTGGGGGCTGAAAAAAACCATGAGATGGCCCCTCGCATCGAGTTCACCTCACTTTTTCATAACCCAAATATTGTGAAGGGGTTTTCAAGTGCCTTACCCCAAACTTTTCCCTCTCCATGTGCTGCCCCAAAAACACCAGCCAAAAAGGACATAATTCCTGTACAACACAAGGGCAAGGAACCAGTCCGGTCGTACGAGGTTTCGTGGTCCCAAAGCCACCAAAGGACTACAGAAACCACAACCTCCGAGCGTATACAAACTAAGGAGACGAGGAAAAGCCAGCCGAAGCCCACATGGAACTCTAAATCCCCTTCCCCATCTGTATTCCAACGGTTGGGAAGGTCATAGCCAAAACTCGAACCTAAGAGAGAAGCTCCTAAAGAGCAGACCGATGAGAAACGATATCGCTGAAGTCTTCGCATTGAAAAAGAAAATACAAAGCTCGAGGCTCGACAAAAAGTGGTCTACAGGAAGGCCTCCCCACCACCATCAGGAGTGAAGAAATCGGTGGTCGACGCATCTATGCCATTGGTGCCAGAAATCCTGGTGGATCCTTTTCCCGAGAAGGTAAAAATCCCCAAAATTGGGTTATACGACGGCAACTCGGATCCCGAAGCTCACTTTGGTCATTACGTATCATGGATGCGCTTTCATGGGACTGAGGATGCCCTTAAATGTTAGATGTTTTTCCTTACAATAGGTCCCGAGGCACAAAGGTGGTACCACTCACTGCCACATCATTCTATTCGGAGGTGACAGCAGTTGAGGTCGACTTTCTGATCTTACTTCATTGGCTCCCAAATTTGCATGATCCCCAAGGAGTTGATCACAAATATAGTGCAAGAGGCAAAGGAGAGTTTGAAAGATTAAATTGCTTGATTCAAGAGCATGTGCAGAATATGGATACGTGTCACCAAGAGACATTGTTGGTGTCGACTTTCTAGAGTTTGAAGCATAACTCTATGTTCAAGTGGTTGTTGTGCCAGAGTAGGCCGCTGACGTACCAGGAGTTTTTGTCCCAATCGAAGCAACACATTATCCTTGAGGAGTTTATGTCTATCCCATCGTTCGAGCTACCGAACAATTTTAGCACAAAAGAAAAAGAAGCGAAAATTGGTCGAGATTCGATGAAAGACACCCAAACTTCTCAAGTTTGGGCGTCAAGGAAGCAATAACATAAGGAGCTAACGACTAATTATAAGAGCGTATACTTGGCCCGACGCAACGACCGTGTAGGAAAAGCTGAAGAACAAAAGGATCATTTCGGAATCGAGGCCTATGATAGCCAATGAGGACCAACTCGACAAGTTGAGATATTGTGCATACCAAAAATCCATTAGACACAACACGAATTAATGCTTATGTTTGATTTCTGCCCTGTTGAATTGGAAGAGCTTCATAGCATATTTAATGATGGGAATGTAAAACTTATATTAGAGACTCGAGATAACTTTAAGTTGTTCAATTGCAATGATACTTATTTTTTTGCCGAGAAATTATATCCGAATGATTTGAGTGAGCAAGAGCTACATTATTTGAAGAGTTAGCTAGAAAACTTGATGTGTGTCCAACATGAAAAGGTCCAAAATATTTTTACCATTTTCGATTGATGTCGGCAATTAGTAGAGATAAAAAAAGCAAGACATTATCACTTAATTGATAAACTGATTCGCCTCATTTTAAATCTCCTTGTTTCTACTGCAACAATCATTTTAGCTATAAAACTTCTCAAAATTCCTCTTCGAAATAAGATAGAAGAAGACTTCTTAGAAGATTCTACGATTATCTACATCCAAAGAGGTTTTACTCTAAATATCAACACAGATTCAATAATTGACAAATTTCATAGGATAAAGAATCGGAGGGGACATCTTAAATAGATAACATTTTTTTTTTTATCTTTTTAAATTGTTGAAACGAACATGAAAATTTTATATGCATTGTTAATTAAAACTTGTTTTCCATTTTTCATTTAAAATTTTAACATATAATTTAAATTATTCTTATAACCGATCAACAGTGTTTTTTCTTTTTTTTTTTTTTTGGCTACGCCGACATCAGTGTTGTTCAAAAGCAGTAGAGCTGAGTACAAAGTTTGAGAAAAATAAAACTAAAAACTCATTGAAACAGAAAAGGAGTTAACAACAGCCCTCGAGAGCAAATTGAAGTAACAGCGAGAGCTTCTATTCAGCTGTGTCCACATGCTTTGGGGCGTCGACTTCTTTAAACTTCTCCAATGCTGATACGCGTCCATCCAGAGACTCATAAAGGCTACTCATCTATATGAAAGAAGGTAAACATGGTTTGAAACAAAGCATTGCATACTTATATGTAAGCGAATTTAAATATATATATATATATAGTATATATATATATATATATATATATATATATATATATATATATAGACACTCAAGAAATATACTAAAGAAACAGAACACAATATCTCAATAACACAAACCTTTTGTAAAGCTAAACTCTCAGACCACATATGTATACTCATTTCAGGTACATCTATATATTAGACTCCACACGGGTACATCTATATATTAGACTCTCACAGGTACATCTATATATCTAGACATACTAACCATTAGACATCATCATAACATTAATCTTCTTACATTGACCGCAGTTATACATGAATCTAGTCCAAGAGTCAATCTTGGAATTCCAAAGTACCAATTCCAATAGTAATGATATACTTCCTTGCCGTAGGCCATGGTGCAGAGTCTCCAATATCATATTAAAGTCTATTCTTACAACCATACGTTGAGCCATAAGATCCTCTCTGACAGCATCCAACTTCAAGAATGCCAGCCGAATATATTGACCCAAATAAATATAAAAAAAATAATAATTAAAAATGTGCAGATGATGAGTTCGTTTGTTATCGCATTGCGTAAATTAAATATCCCAGAGGATCTCTGTGGTGATATTTCTAGTTAATACCCCTTTTACTGCATGCACCATCGCATCATGATTCAAATACTATCAGATTCAGAAATGAACCATTCAACAAATCAAACAACTGAGTTCCAGCATAAAATCTCAGCAAGGGTGGGCTCTGGAAAAAGCAAATCCACTGCATAGCGTTAACTGGTCCACTGTTTCAGGAAATGTAAGGCTCATCGAGATTTTGACATGATACGATAGCCATAAAATAAGGCTCCACAATAGAATGGAACAAATGTTAAGCAAGTTGATGCATGCCATGCATTATAATAGCGAAAATGTTCAAGAACTTTAAAAAATCCATGCCAACTGTTTCTTTACATGTACTTGTTTTAACTACCAACCTTGGAGAAGGCTCAAGTAATAATACAAGCCTTTCAAATTTCAAGTCATACACATTACACAGTCAAAGTATATTAGAGACCGAGCAGCTGTATTGTTAATTTCATTGCATCGGACTTGTTAAAATATTTTAGCAGGCTTTACGGTTATGGTTACGGCACTGTTTGAAGAAGAGTACCATCAAAGGAAGGTTGTCTTATGTTGAATATAATAGGTGGCCGGTAGGAATTTTTCCTAAGTATTATTGGGGGGCAAGTCTCCAGTTTGGGTAGCACTCATCCTGAGAAGAACATTGTCCTTATTTATTGGCTGAATTAATAATATCAGTCTTCCCTTGACTATAAAACCTCGAACATTTTTTGAATATCTTGATAATCATAACTATCTTTCTCTTCCTTACAGACATTATTACAATTCTATACTTTGGTCCTCTTTTCCAGAACTTATCATATGCATACTTTCCACTTAAAACAAATTCTCTACTTGACAATTTCACAAATTAAAATAGACGACTTCCAGAGCCCTCTGCCCAAACGTGGCTATAGTATCGAAAATTAGTTTTGTTATCTAGTCTCTACTTGTTCCAAGTAATGTGTGACTTGAGCAAAAAATACAAACAAAAAAAAAAAAATCAATCCGAGCTTGATCTATACCATCACATCAGTACCGGATTTGTATCCGCTTCGCGCACCAAAGATTTCTGTCATATATGATATTCATAATAACTGCATCTGCTATTTTGTTACTATTGGTAAAAATGTGGCATACAGTGTCAACGCTACAAAATATCATGTTTTTTATATAGGATAGAGGAGAGACACTGAGGTATAATGCTACAAAAAATTAAACCACAAGACTAGATCTGTACAAAGTCTAGACAAATAATACTAAGTTCATCCATAATATGATAGGAGGATTTTTTAGTGGATGACGTGAAGAAATATACATAACCGACTATTGCTAGATATCGTAAAGGTAACTGTCCTTCCTCACAGAGGCAAGACAATGTGCTAAGATGAAGAAGCGTAGAATAACTAATGGTACTTCAGATTTATTTGAAGAATCAACATAAGACTACTGAATAAAGAAAGATTTGGCCACGATCATCTAAATGGCACATGACCAATTCAAGACGGCCACAAAAGAAGAAGTGGTGACTTTATTCAGATTGCATATGTAATGGGGAAACTAAACAATAAGAAAAAAATAACTGAATTGGGGATTCGCATACTTTTTTGTCGTCTGCAAGAGAGAAACAACTTACGGTATTAGTTAGTTTCAAAATTCATACATTCAGCACATTTACAGGTGCAAATACAAATCATATTAACCACATGAACCCTAATCTCCGCACATCTTCCACAGTTTCCATCTGAATTTATTTGGATCTCTATAACTTCACAAATTAGCTGAAGGAAGCATAAGAGAACTCGTAATTCCATATACTGCAAATTTCTCAAGCACTACTAATCTCACCCAAATCAATTTCTTTTGATTATGATTTCGTTTTCTTAATCAAAGTATTGTTTACATCGTACAGCTTGGAAACTGATGAATTCAACATATTCATACTAGCTAAATTAACCAACACGCAACATTCAGAGCCATCGCCAATTTCACTCCTGAGCACTAATCGTGTTGAGACGAAATAAAAATATTTAAAAAGAACAAAGAAAAGGTGCAGAAAAAAATGGCAACAATGGAGAAAACCTGTTGCGAAATGGCGTGGTGGGCAATCTTGTAATCCTTCTGGAGGAAATAGAGGCCGCCGGCGGACGCCAGGGCGGCGCCGGTGAAGAACGAAGCAAATCTCACTCGCAGCACATAACCCATTCTTTTTCCGATGCGAGGAATATGAAATTAATCAACTTCTCTCTATTTAGCCCCTCGAAAAAACCCACGATCACGACCTTAGGAGAACACCTACAATGCTTTCAGTCTCTTACAAAAAAATCACATGCTATGTAGAATTTAGACTTAGTCTGTAAAAAAGTATTTCACATTGCAATTAAAAATGAACCTAGTTTAGATTACGTGGCAATAAAAAAAAGAGACCAAGTTCACACTTGAGTTTATTTTGGATCCAAGTACAAACCCAAACACATCATTTATTCTTAATTTAAATTTTCTTTTAATAAATGAAACATATTAGAACATTTTTATTGATTGGCATGTATGCTAGACCTAGTATTTTATTTTTGCATTGAATAGCTTTTGAGTTTTTTTACTTGGGTTCGTCCATATTATTTAGAACACCTACAATATTTTGGGTCTCTTACAAAAATCATATGTCACGTAGGAAATAGAATTAGTCTATTAAAAAATGTTTTGTAATGCAATTAAAAGTATACTAAGTCTAACTTATGTGGCAATCAAAAAATGAGACCAAGTCCACGCTTGAGTCTATTTTGGACCTAAGTACAAACATGAGCAATCATCATATATTCCTAATTTAATTTTTCTCTTAATATAGGATATATTTTAGAGTATTTTTATTGGTTGATAAATATTATAGACCTAGTATTTTGTTTTTGCATTAGATGACTTTTATATTTTTTTTACTTGAGTTATATGCACATATGTAAAATTGAACCCAATGCATTGTGGATGCTCTTACGATTTAAATATATTTATATGCCACATATGTAAAATTAGACCCAATGCATTCTGGGTGCAACAAAAGTAGACTGAGTCCTGCTAGAAAAATTGTATGAGTTCAATTAAAAAAATTGTATGACACCTAAGAAATACATTTAGTCTAAAAAAATATATTCTCCAATGCAAACAAAAGTAGACTGGGTCCTGCTGATGTGGTAGCCAGAAAAAAAAAGACCCTTAAGTCTATTTTAGACCCAAGTACAGACTTATGGCATGATTGGTATAATAAAATGAAATTTGATAGGAATGGAATGAATTGAAAAATGGAATGAATATGAAAAAGGAATGAAACAAGTTTTTTCATTGATGTGTTTAATATGCCAAATGAATAAGACCTGAATGGAATGATAATATCATTCTAAATTATCATTTATCACTATTTATATAAAAAAATAATATTTATATTAATACTTTTTTATTTATGATAATAATAAAATTATTTTTTTATAAACATATAGTATATTTTGATAAATATGTTTTTGTATTTTTACACTCATATATATTATATAATAAATTAGTGAATTATGAATTGTTATACATATTAGCTAGTACAAATATAGCATTACACAAACCCCTACATATGTAGTCAAATATAATTTTTTATATTATAATTCAACTTATAAATAAATTTATGATATATATGATTTATAAAAATATAATAATATCTTTTTAAACTATTTATAAATGCAATTTTAGTTTATTTATATAATATAGTTTGGGCATGTGCGTAGGATAGACTTAGAAACATTAGAATTAAGAACGCAAATTAAAAGAGTTCCCCTACAAACCATTCGAGCAAAAAATAAAAATTTATTTCAAATATTTAAATTTGAATGTTGATGTGGTGTTTTGATCGAGCACGATGGTGAGCCAGCGACATGCGATCCATATAGAAGACCCTACTTAGTGAGATTTTAACGACTTGTTTATGTTATATAAGTATTTCATATATCGAATTAAAATATGCACAATAACTAAATAAGTTTTAAAATTTATTATTTGAAATTTATTTTTTGGAATTATTTTATTTAATATAGTTTAATTATAATTTATAGAATATATTATATATTTATTTATTATTATTATTTGTTAATTTTATTTCTTGAGAAATTGATTCTTACATATATGAGAATAGGAAAAACCTTGTATTTGCTATGGAATTGCTAAACTCACGGAGATGGGATTTGCAATTCCTATTGAAATGGTCATTCATTTCCAAAAAATATACCAATCATGGGAATAAGAATGAGTAAGAGAATGGACATTTCATTTCCATATCATTCCTCCGTACCAATCATGTAGGAATCGTGATTCCATGGTAATCGTGTCGTGTCATCTCTTAACATTAAAAGATACCTAGTGGTGTTAGACGAGTTCGGGAGGGGCTGGTGGGGGTTGGTCGGTTTTCTCTCGGTTGGAGGTGTGTCGATTCGGGGAATGGTTTGGGGCTCGGTGTCGGCTATTGTATAGGCGGTTGCGCAGTTTCGATAGTAGTTTCTTGGGTTGGGACTCCTTGTGTCGATCGCTCACTACTTTTGGGCCTGCTCGTATGGTGGGGAAGGGCTGTTTGTTATTTTAGTTTTTTCTTGTTCTTATTTTGTGCCTTCAGTGTCTGTGTTTGTGTTATTATTTGTTTTTGTACTTGTGTTTTAGATTTCGGCCGTTGGCCTCGATTAGCCCGAGTGTGACTTTATTATCCTGCTGAGATCGTACACTCAGGTCTTATCCTGTTGGGGCTTTTTTTTTTCTTTTTCATTTTCCTTTTGGGAGCTTTTAGTGTCGTTTTTTTTTTTTTTTTTTTTTTTTTTTTTTT